TAGATTTCTAATCATACGCCCAAGCATCAGCACGTACTGAAAACCACTTGCACAGCACTTTTTATGCCAAACTCTCTTCCTTTAGGGTCCTGCATCAAAGTTTAAGTACCTGTGTCGGATTTCATGTTCAGTGAATCATTTGTTCTAAAAATGGCGGGGTGCTTTGTCATAAAAAGAGGCGTTAGCCGGACGATCCACTGAGATAGTTAATGAGGATGACACTTCCAACGAACTGGTTTGGGTTTGCGGCTGAAGGCATTGTTCGAAGCATTTTGATTTTAATGATTTTGATAGGGTTAATCCAATTCCTCTACTAGCCTCATTTGCTTCGGCCAGTATACTCTCTAGGCTTACATTAAGTAAAGTGAAGTCATCGATGCCGCGATCCACCTCCATCTAACACCCATTTATAGCGGACTGTTTTAGAATGACAATTTTGAACTCATCTCTATTTAGTGAATCCTATTTCAGGTTCGGGCGTTCGCCTAATGCATCACCACTAATTCGATTTGGCAAGAAGTAGAGCTTCAGGTGTGTTGACGTTAGCAGTGGTACTTTGATGAGTGCCGGGCCTTTTACACATTAAGGGCTGAATTGGTTGAGATGGCGATATACGAAATTTCACCTGTAGCATTGTAACTGAACTCAGCTAGACAGGGAACGGTTGAATTGCCCAATGGTAAATAGCATTCTTACAATCAAGCGTAGTGTTGTTAACGATGGTAAGTATTCTGAAATCACGGACCGTGTTCGGATAATCTTCGATAATCTAGTAGCAAGTCGCGCAATTATTCCCCACCTTGATTCACATCAAACTACTCTCAAAATCGATGGCAGGATTTCAAACTATAATGAGAACGGATTCTCTCCATGATTGAAATAATCAAAATTTTTGGATCGACTCATCGATGAAATTTGATGATCCTCCCACCAAGTTACGAAGAATTCCCGAAATTTGTCTCAATTTCAGAACAAACGGCGCTCGAGCAGTATGCGGCTAGAAACTTGGTCATTCTTCATTTTCGATACTTCATGGTTGTCGCCCACATGCCTACGCCTACATGCACATCTACCCAAACTTGGTTCATTCTTTCCCGCCGTGTTCAGCCAATTTGTTCTATTCATAATTGAGTACAATGTCGTTAATGCAGAGTAAAGCGAATTTGTACATGATTCTATTTCCTGAACTACAGTATGTCTGATGCAAACACATCAAAGGCCAGGTATTATATAATAGAAATTGAACATGTGGTCTGTAATGATAGAATTGGTGCGGAGATTGTAAATTATGTTAAGAGTAAATGGTAGTGTGCAGGGAATGCTTTTTTTTTAACCAGAGCTTTGCAATGAATCCAGAGTGCTGTATTCAGAGTCATATTTCCAAATCATATCACTGACCATTCAGCTTACGAGGGGAAGTTTTTAGGTGAAAGTGGCCAGCTGTTGGGGGGAACTAGGCCCTTCAATCACGCATACGACTCTGGTTGGATTCTGGGTAAAGTGTTGAACTTTTTGGACGTGAAGAAGTAAAGTGTCATGATTCCAACTGAACTCACGTATCTAGTTTTTTGTGTAGTTTCATTTCTATTTTCAGAATTCACTTGACTGAGGTGCTCTTGTTAAGAGGGCTGTGAAAGGTTTATGGGTGAACAGCTGGTCAACAGTAGAATTCATGGCCTGAAGAGGATAGTGCGGTTCGAACTGCGCGCGGCAAATTGCGCGGCGAAATTTATAGCGATTTTGACGACTTCAGCTCCTCTCAGTAGGTCAAAATTTGAAATAGAGTAGATTCGTGGTATCAGCCGACCCTACTATTCTACTCTACTTCGAGTTTGTGCCCAAATAACAGGTGCAAGAGTCGTTCGAATCGCAACGAATTTCGCCGCGCAATCTGCCGCGCGCAGTTCGAATCACACGAATGTGCACATCCCTCCGAGTCCCGTCCTAGGCAAAATCCTACTATATATAACGCGCTAATGTCTGTGTGTTTGTGTGTGTGTCCGACCGAAAATTCATATCTCCTGTCCCCGTGGACTAAACTTAGAGGAAGTATAGGCGGCGGGATGTGTCCACTTATCGTGAGTAGCGATATTCGACTCCTCCCACAGGGAGCGGAGTCCGAACCTGTCACTCACTGTGAGTGTCCCTATCCTGCCGCCTGTACTCCTATCAAGAGTAGACTTGGCAGGATAGAAACGCTGTGGAAACGGTCTTAGAAAACAAGATCCGCTCTGCAACTAAACCCTAACACAATTGTTATTTACGATCTAGCTTTGACTCTTTGATATGTTCCATTCGACAAGAAGGGTAAGTGCAGTGATAGGGACCGACTAAAAGTACTAATTTTTGAGGAGATGAAAATTGGTACATTTCTTGCTATTAGGTTACGACCGCCATCCAGCGAAGTTCGTGACTCAATGAAAAATCACTGTTTCTCTTCGCTTCGATATCATTCTTGGCAAAACTTATCCAACCGCTAATAATCTTGGATTCTTATTTAATGTTTCAGTATGAAGGTGTGATATAGCCTTGGCCAAGATGGTACAGCTCTTTATTCAGTCAACGTTTCGGCGTTATCGCCTTCGTCAGGACCTGGAAGCCAAAAAGAATTCGAGATTCATCCAAGTCATGCACCGTTTTCGCACTTCAGTTAGCTCAAGAATAACCTACAGAAATCTAAATAGGTCTCGTAAACCACAACAAGGGAAGCCATCTAAGAAATAGAAAAGACGACGTGTGGACCACCTTTCAAACTGCCTATTTAAACGTTTTTGCAGTGGGTGGGCCCTGTGTGACCTAAGCCCCGACTTGAAGCTGGTGGCAATTGTAGCCCACACAGGTCGACAAATGGGGCGAGTTCACTTGTTATGGACAGACATTCGTCTTTCCGGTTAATTTTGGGGTCTTTTGCGCGGATCCAAAAAGCTTCCAAAGCTTTGCGAGCGGAGGTCGTGGGGGCTCCCGCATCAAAATCCTGACTGAGACTTCAAACTCTACCCCTCCGTGGCGTTGCCTACGGTGGTCTCCGAGTGGAGTCAGGCCTTGATTTCTTCAGACCAGCTAGGTGTTCCTTGATCCTACATGTATTCGTCCCCGCATGCCTCACAAGTGATCAAATAGATCACCCCTGACGCCATGCATCCCCCTCTCGCCCATTGGGACAGATGCCACAATGGGGGGGGGGGGTTATGCATAGACGGTCATACAAACGACTTTGAACCAGCCTTTTCTTGAGATTAGTAGGAGGAACCTCGACCACCCGCACCATGTCATCAAGACCACACTTGCGCTTAAAGCGTGCAGTGTGCAAATTATTGATATCTAAAACAACTGGACATTAAAATTGGCAGAATGAGTATTGTTCTGAAGGATTTGTCCAAATTTCCTATTGTTCGTTGGTCTAGGGCTCTGTCACTTCCATGGATCTCATTGGCGACTTATCGTTCTTATTGTTAGTTATTGCTCATGCTCTTGGTCGATATCTGCTACGGCCATGGAACTTGGATCGATGCTGATTGGGATACTTGATTGGCTTGTTAAAAAACCTTGCTAATACTAGGTTGTTGAAAGGAATGCGCGTTGAATTTGTCCATTTATTTCTCTCCTACTATACATGATTTTTCAAAACAGTTTTGTATGATAAGAAGAGATTTTTATTGCGCATCTTCTGATGTATTTTTAATTATTTCTACTTTGTTTTCTTAAAAGAAAAAAGTTTAGGAAATGCTTGACCAAAAATTCTTTTTGCGGATTGCGTGTGGTATGACTTCAAGCAAAGCAAATCGGCTGCTAAAACTCATCATCTGAGGTCATTGGCGAAGAAGCCTTGTCAGAAAGTCAGTGTCGACGATAGTTCCAGCGTTTCAAAAACGGTAATGAGAGGTTAGAAGACGAAGAACATGGAAGTCTCCCTCAAGTAGTCGATAACCGAGTGTTAAAGTCCGTCACTGAATAGGATACACGCCAAACCACTCGAGAACTTGCAACACATTCTGGCTGCTTGAATTTTACCATCCATGAATAAGTGCTGTCAATTGGCAAGCCGATCAGGTGCGGAAAATGGGTATCGCACCGTCGCGTCACGGGTCGGGACGCGGGTATGGATCGCGAAAATCATTTTGGAAAAAATTGAGGAACAAGGGCTGGGAAGTCTTGCCTTATCCGCCTTACAGCCCAGACGTGGCACCATCCGACTACCATCTGCTCCGGTCGATGCAGCACTCCCTGGCCGAGAAGAAGTTCAAAAACTGCGATAACGTCCAATTCTGGGTGTTCAACTACTTTGAGTCGCAGTCGGTCGAGTTCTTCAGAAGAAGAATCCATTCTTTGCGTAAACATTGGCAACAAGTCATTGATAGTGATGGAGATTCTCTTTTGAATTGATCTTGTTTAGTTCCGTCTTTATAATAGAGAATTTTTGAAGCTAAAACGCGCATTTCTTCCCAAACAACCCAATATTGTAATTAATAACGAATCGCATTTGCATCTTTTGTCACAAGCTCTGTGCGATACGAAGGAACTCGCCGAAATCAGCGGTTTGCTTTGTCGGGAAATCTCGGGTTGTAAAATGAGGCTAGATTAGCATGAAGATGTGGTAGTCTCTGCTAGAATATCGCGTAAGAGACGTAAGCTTACACATACGCAACGTCCTGGAATAAATTTAGGTTGTTCAAAGGAAGCTTTTCGAATTACGCGTTTCTGCAGACGACGAGTACGGTGTCTATACAAAATGTGCAGCCTGATCGATCGTGTCCCTGTTGTAGTGGAGCGCCAACGGGTCGGTTGCGACATCGACCACTCCCCAAACTAATACGATTAGTCCCGTTGTTGAGTGCTTCCCATACTGAAGTCACAAACTGCTCGTGGTTCCGTATAGCTGTTCGTGCACTTCCTTTGTATTTAGTCAGGGTTCTGTTACTTACTAGGGAGCCGTTTCGGACGTTTTCACAAGTTATAAATCAAAACACTTCCTGAGTGGGATTATTTATTCATAACAGGGAATGACTTCCGAGGCGGCAATACCAGATAGTGAGAAAGTGCGAATTGTTTCCGATTTTTTGCAACACGCTCCACCAGGTGAATTCAATGAGGTATGTTGCTTTTTTTTGTGTGTCACAGGGCCTGGTTTAGGTGGATGTGTTTTGAGTCGAGGTTGTTTGAGGTTTTCAATGCTGTTCGTATGTTACTGAACAACGACCAGTTGCTGAAAGAAGGATGCGCACAGGCTATCACGAAATACAACGAAAGCCAATTCGCTCCGGTGAAACTTGAAGGGGTTGAGAAACAGGTACTTACTATTTTTGATTTGTATTGTTCTTGTGCTTTTTTGAAGATAAATATATTATTGCAACGCCACCTTTGTAAGCTGTCGGCATCGTATGACAGTCTGATATCTGGTATTCGGGCTAGTGGTATAAACGGCCGCAGTGTTCTGCTTTCTTTGTGTTTTGGAATCGCTAAACTGGGAAAATCTTCTTCAAGTCAATTTTGCTTAATCTTTTCCTGGAGTCAGCGGATGGACGACACAGTCCGACTTAGATTTACAGAGCTGTTTGCAAATGATTGCATTCTTTCCAAGTCCAGGGGTTTATCATTTAGTCGCGCGCCTCCTTAAGAGAGGTTATGGAGTAGCACTGTACAAAAAATATGAGGCCTCAGCACCGGCTGAAGGAATTTTTCGTACGACGCACCAGTTAATCATGTTCCGTAACTTTTCCTGAACATCTCTACACGATCGTGAATATTGATTGTTATTAGTGATTACTGTTTTTTCAAAATTGCGTGTAACGACAGCATGGGAAAGACGTTCTTAGGGCGCATTAATAACCCACTTTAGCAGTGCAGGAGCGCCGGAAAATCCACCTGGCCTAATACTGTGTTTATCACCGAAATCAATAGTACAATTAGGAGGTTCCAGACTGAGCATCGTGTTTTAAATCGCTCTTGAATGCTTTGAAAAGAAAACAAGTGGAGCAAAAGCAGTTCTTCGGACAAGTGGAGCGAGTAATATTGCCAAAGATGGCAGTATTATAATATGTGCTGGGTCAGTAAGGATTGAATCGCGCATTCTTCGTAGAGGTCAGGTCTAGAGGTTCGACATTCTACGGTGAATGGTCTATGATAGTGTGGAATTTGAAGGGGAACTGTTCAAACTTGAACTCATCTATGACAGTTATTGTCTTTTCGCCATGAATGCTGCTGCACAAGGCGGTCGATTTCCTAGTGCATGTTTTCTCACCATATAACTCGGTGTTCATTTGTTCTCATTGTCCGATCTAACTTGTGACTATTTGTATGGATAGGGGTACAGTAAAAAATGGCAACGTATTGTTCTAATAATTTTTCATCGAGGACTCGGAAAAGAAGTTGATCAAGTATTGCTTACACTTTCAAAAAATGTTGCTTAGACACTTGTGACGCCATTCAACGATATTGGAGGAGGTCGCTACGTGGATGATGCGTCGAAGAAATCCTTCAAGTATGATCATCTTCGGAAGGAGGCCAGTGACATCCAGCCGTATCCAGCAGAATCGAGCGCTTTAGAATCGTGGCGTGTAGCTCTGCAAAAGGTACCAAGCTGCTCAGTGGTTTTTTCCAATTCTAGTTGCTGCTTACATCCATTTATCTTAGGAATTAGATGCATATATAGAGGAACATTACTCGAAATCTGGTGTAGGATGCGTGTTCGTTCGTCATGGAAATTTCACATTATGCATAGAGTCACATCAGTTCCAGCCGAAGAATTTTTGGTATCATTATTAACATTATTCTTATTTTGATTATTTTTCATTTGCTTTATTGCACTGTCTTGCTGACAGTGTTCAATAATTGTTTTTTTAGTAACGGTCGCTGGCGATCCGAGTGGAAAGTGCCAGTCGGTGAAGGGAAGTCAGGCAGTCAGGAGCTTGTGGGCAAAATCAAAGTGCAGGTAAAAAGGAAGATAGAGTAGTTTTGTTAATAGCGATTCCAAGGGNGGGAGTGAAATTTTATTTGTGTCAGGTACATTATTATGAAGACGGCAACGTGCAGCTGTTCTCTGAGAAAGAATGCAATGTAAAGATACAAATAAGTGTGAGCATGGAGTTCTTTCTTGATCTTTTGACTGGAATTATCAGATTATTTTCAGAGCGATGTTGAGAAGACGGCAAAAGAAATAATCCAGGCCATAAAAGACGAGGAGGGGAAATATCAGGTATTCACTTCATCTATGATAGTTGTTATTTCTCGGTTATTTCTCGTTCTTTTTTCTATATACGTAGTTATTTTTTTACGTTCCTATTGAGACAACATTAGGACAATTGGGTTTTCAGGAGAAAATCACCCAATTCATAATCAGTTATGCTTGTTGGATTTTCCCTCAGATATAAGATAAGGTTAGAGCTGCGGCTAATTAGGTGGACGCTGAAGATGTTTTTCCCCGCTATCGTTTCCTCTGAGACAGCTATTTGCTGTTTTTTCCAGTGTAGTCCCAGTTATATTTTGGAAGTGACGAACTATGCTCATCTGATGCCTTGGTTCAGTTTCTGCTCATCCGGTTTTCATTGCCAATGCTTCTGATCACTTATGTTTTTGACATCGTGCCCTTGAAAGTCTTTTCTTCTTTCTTTCGCTTATTTTTTCTTCTATTTCTCTTGTTCACATACTCGTTAGGAGTTTGTGGACGGAAGGTTCCACCATATAGTGCACCCTGTGCATAACTTGTTTTACCATTTGTGCTAGATGTATCTCTAGAGCAACGTAATGAAACTAGTCAGGCGTTCTTCCAAGAAATCACATTGCAAGGTAAAAAGTAAAATACGACGGGTTTTCCATGAGGTTTTGTCACTTGTATGAAAGTTGGAAGAACTGTGTCTGCGTTCTGGAACTGGGACCAGTTACCAATTTCATGTTGATTAAAAATCGTTTGTTTGCTATGTGAACAACACATGTTCGCCTTCGAAGGTACTTGTTTTTTGGGTGTTTCACATGGGACGAGGTAAACGATGTCTGTGTTTTACAGAATTGATCAGTGCTTTTGTGGGTGTGTGCTTCACGTTATGAGATGAGAAATGATTGAAAGTGTTTCTAAGAGTTGATATTGTTTTTGTGGAGGAAAGCATGTGATGACTTTAGTTCCGTATGGAAATTCGTGTTTATTCAGCAAGCTGTGCAGGAGAACTATGCATCTATGTCGGACAACACATTTAAAGCACTTCGAAGACAACTGCCGGTAATTCGCGCAAAAATGGATTGGCATAAGGCGAGTATTTGTCGTGCTTTTGATTTGGAATGCTGCAGCAGTTTGGCATGAGCAGGGGAGATCAGGATGGTGATGCGACCATTGTTGGCATCTGAGGCAGTGCAGATTGCAGTTTTTAAGAATAATTCTGACACAAATGTTTCCAGGTGCAATCGTACAGAATTGGCCAAGAAATGAAACCGCAGTAAAGTGAATGAGGTGAGTGATAGTGCTTAAGTGCTGTTATTCCGGCTCTGGTGTTCAGCGTGTTGTTTTCTAGTTTATGAGTGATATCATTGTTAAACATTGTTTCCAAGATTCTCTTCCCGCTTTAGTTCATGCTGATGTATTCTAATGATTTGATTTATTTCATCAGTCAGCTAGCTATTTAACTCAACTGAGTCTAGCCAGAGCGTTCACCAGTGTTTCGAATAATCACTATTACCTGCCTCCGCAGAGGCATGAAGATTGAAAACGAGGAAAGCTTTCTATGGGACCATTCTCAAATAGTTCTCTGCTTACTGTTTTCATAAGCGTTATCTGAAAAATAGAAGTGTGTTCGTTGCAATTTTCATCTACAGGCTTCTTTGAATGCTTTTTTCTAATCCATAATGGAGTTTTTAGGTGGAGCAAATTTTTTCTAAACAAATTTTTTTTTGTAATTATGATGCACTTGTATATCCTAATAAACTTTTATTATTCAAGTGTTGTACGTTGTTGCTGTCGACAATGTACGTGCGTTTGTTATACATTAAAAAGGATCAACCTGTAACGAGAGTCGTGTTGGACAAGAAACAAAAAGTGCTGTGGCATATGATATTTATGTATCCTAGAACAATTGACTCACAAGGTTGGTGAGTTGTGGGCAAAACGTTGGCCAGCAACCCGTACTTTTGGTCCCGGGCGCTGTGGTGATTGTCCTTCACATTGCCTAAGCCTCGCTCGCTCTCGCCTTCTAAGACAACTCACGATGTATTTGATTTGAAAATTGCAAAAATGTGTATCTCACAAAACATGTACCTAAATGGGTAATAACTTGTAAATTGAAGAGTAAAAAATTTTTAACGATAATCCCGTCTTAGGGTTGCGCCCCCATGTTTGACTTCCATGCAGAATCACAGTGACGAGTTGAGCGTATGTAACTTGTACGCTTTCATCCTCCCAGAGGAGACTGATTCCTATCAACCGACTTCGAAGGAATGGAAGCCTTGGTGGGAGCCTAGGTGGATATCGCGATCTGGAATTCGAACCCGTGACCATGCGTGCGTGATAGTGCGGGCGGCGCCACTTGTCACTACACAACCTCCACCCTTCCTTGCTCATGCAATTATTGATGTACCCTCTTGGATAACTGCAACGAGGTTGCGTATTGGGAGAAAGTTTTCGAAGCGGTCAGTAGCATTGGATTACACGATCTGTGTA